AGGAACTCTAATGTATACAATTAAAAAAAAATCAACCAGGACGGAGGGGAATGTAGACTTCCAGGAATGAATGTCACTTGTACACATAACATCCCTGAGGGGTTGGGAAAAGGAGCAAATCAGAGTAACCTTGCAGGTGCTGCTTTGACTTACAATTGCAAGGCTAAAGGCCAAAGGAACTGGAGGTCAGCATTGTGTTGCAGCTGTTAAGTTTGTTACCCATCGGGCTGGGGTGGGGATGGGGGGTGGGGAGACTGTGACCAATTCTGAAATAGCTTTGCATGCACCATGAGTAAGAAGGGGCAAATAAGTAAATGAAGAGTGGATAGTGGGGGTCAGGTTTGGATAAGCAAAGGCAGAAAGCTAGAAGGAACCCTGTGATACTGGATTTGAGTCAGAGAAATAAGTATGAACTCATATTGAACCACACATATATACAAATTTAATAGACGTGTATATACATGGGTTAATACGCATAGCTCCTATCCGTGCGCTCTGGGAGGGCCTATTACAGAGTTACAGCTAGTATTGGGTTGCCGGATCAACACAGGACGCATACATAAGCTTGAATTTCAGATAACAATAAACAAACACACACATACACAGACACTTAAGTCTATAAAGGAGTAAAATATACTTGCAAGGGCAAACAAGAAAATTGCAGCTGGGTGGCCAGGGGAATGAGGTAAGAGGAAGATTTGTTTCTCACTATATACCCTTGGACCATAGGTTTCTTATTCACAAAATAAACAACTTTACAAAAATTAAGCAAGGAAAACCTTGTAGTTAACTCAATAAATAAAAGTATTTTCTATGAATTAGAAAAGAAAGGGCTACGTGTTTAACTTTTTAAAATTTCACTGCTTTGTAGTGAAATCGCTTATATAAATCATAGAAGCTCCAGACAGAGCCTGTCTTTATCCTTCATGAGCAGGTCTTCTCTTCTTTTCTGCAGACCTGGTGAGAGTCACAGGCTAGTGTGACATTTCCTTCTTGGACCCCTTCTCCCATGGCTCTGGGGGAAGGACCCCTGTATATCTGGGAGAGGAGACAGGAAGAAGACGCTCTTGCTGTAATCATGGCCACTTCTTACGTTAATCAAGGTCTCCTGCTGAGTTGGAGAAGTATTCTCTGCTGTTGACACATGGAAACTCTTTAATTAAACTCAGCCTGGCTACCTCTGCCAATCCTCTCCAGGCCAGTGCCAAGGCAACATGCTCTAAATGATGAAGAGGAACCTTTTAAAAACTTTTTAGGCCGGGCGCAGTGGCTCACGCCTGTAATCCCAGCACTTTGGGAGGCCGAGGTGGGTGGATCACGAGGTCAAGAGATGGAGACCATCCTGGTCAACATGGTGAAACCCCATCTCTACTAAAAATACAAAAAATCAGCTGGGCATGGTGGCTCGTGCCTGTAATCCCAGCTACTCAGGAGGCTGAGGCAGGAGAATTGCCTGAACCCAGGAGGCGGAGGTTGCGGTGAGCCGAGATCGCGCCATTGCACTCCAGCCTGGGTAACAAGAGCGAAACTCCGTCTCAAAAACAAAAACAAAAAACAACAAAACAAAAAGAAACCTTTTAATAGGGAAGATAATTAGCCTGTGCAATTCACTATTACAGAATTTCTCAGAGACAAAATAACTTATTACAGTATTTTTTTTGGGGGGAAAAAAAAAAACTGAGTTTTATTCTGGATAAGAATGGCTTCTGCATGACACTGCAAGACAGGGCGAAGCTTCCCAGGTCTCTTGAGGCATATGGTAATTGTCAGAAAGGATTGCTGAGGTCAAGAAGAAATTTCTTCCCACCGAGCAAGGGCAAAAGGTAGCCGAGAAACACTGTGGGAAGAGGGACTGTCTGTGGCAGCATTGCGCTGTACCAATTGTGCTTGGCCAGAGAGAGTATGAGAGAAGGGAAGTAAATAGTGCAATGAGACTGCTCTTTGGTTTAGCCTTTGCCAAGAATACAAGGGTCTGCCCAGGCTTTGTCACTGGCTGTGTGAACAAAGCCAGCCTTGGTTGTGTTCATGGAACAGACAGAGGCTGGGGCGTCGTTAGGGAAATGGAGTTGAACAGCCCTGCTCTCTCTGCTACCTGCGATTGCAGACGTGAAGCAGGGACAAAGCTTTCTTCCTACCCAGAAGGAATCTGAGCTTTTCTCGTGAGAGTCTTCCTTTCAAAGGACAATACTCTCAGTTTGATATGAAAGTGATAGGGCTGGTGAGCAGAGTTCATAATTGTTTACTGCTACCTGGTTTCCTGAAGTGCAGAAGTAATGATGAAAGATGTCAACTTTATGAAGCCTTCAGGGACATCTTAAATAGCTGTTTCCAATTCATGCCTATCTTCTTTGCTCTCTTAAGTGAACAAAGAGCTTCTTAACCAAGCCATCAGAATTAGCTGCCTTGATAAGGATCAAGGCTGAAGCCCGTCACATCCTACACTAGTTTGTGGGCAAGAAGAAAATCACTTAAAACCCCCACGTGATGTGGCTCAGTGGATTCACGATCTGCAATACTTTTTTAGAAAACAGGGTTTGGCACTGTGGCGAGCTTCAGCCTAAGTTCCTAGACAAGCTTACTTTCCCCGATTTGAGTTGGGGAGGATGGAGTTACTCTTTAGTAATTTTGTTGCCCTTTCTTGTGTTGCTATTTGTCAGTGATTGTATATGATTTTTCCTTCATTTGCTAGGGATTAGGGAAGTTATGTAGCATTGCCCTGTTGACAGCGAGTGATTGTACTTCTGTGCAGTCCCTTAGCAGATTCTTTTTTTTTTTTGAGAAGGAATTGCTCTGTTGTCCAGCTGGAGTGCAGTGGCATGATCTTGGCTCACCGCAACCTCTGCTGCCTGGGTTCAAGCAATTCCCCTGCCTCAGCCTCCTGAGTAGCTGATACTACAGGTGCGCATCACCATGCCCGGCTAATTTTTTGTATTTTAGTACAGACGGGATTTCACCATGTTGGCCAGGATGATCTTGATCTCCTGACCTCGTGATCTACCTGCCTTAGCCTCCTCCCAAAGTGCTGGGATTACAGGTGTGAGCCACTGAGATTCTTTTTTGCTGGATGAAAAAGGAATAATAATCATGATGAGAGGGAAGACAAAGAGAACAGCTCTAAGAAAGATGGAGAAAACGGTCACATAGCTTCATGATAGCTCACCTGTGAGGGGTGCTACCTTCTGTGCTAAGGCTTAGGTAATCATACCCTTTACCACTGTGTGTTGGCAAGAACTGCACTTGAAATCGGGAGACCTTGGAAGGCTGAGGAGGAAGGGTTGCTTAAGCCCAGGAGTTCGAGGCTACAGTAACCCATGATCATGCCACTGTACTCTAGCCTTGACAGGCGACAAAGCGAGATCTGTCTCCAAAAAATAAATAAAATAAAGTAAATGAATTAAGAGATCTAGGTTTTGAATTCCGTCTTTGCCACCTGTATTATTAGTGCCAATTAACATCTCTAAGGTTGTTTCATCTATAAAATGACTATTGACAAAGATGTTTGAGAAATAAAGGAATTAAAATTCTTGCAAAACACCATATTCTCAGTGTTTGTTGGATCTGAATATTGTGATATATGAATTGCATCACAGTGTGGTCATCATCATCGTCCTTCATCATTTCTTAAGTATCTAGATTTGTTCTAGAAAATGTATCATGCTTCCCAAAGACAGACTTTCCGACAACTGAGGGTTGGCAGTGGAAGGGAATATCCCACAGAGACGCTGAAGTCAGTTTGCAAAGAGTTTCAAAATATTCAGCAGGAAACTTCATTGGTAAAAGAAAGATTATTCAAGGAGCACCGATCATGCCACTCATTCTGTGTGTGCTTGTACATTATTAAGGAATCAGTTATACTGAAGTGTTTGATGTGTTCAATAAATGTTAACATAATTAATTTGTTAACATATAAAAATGGCACACAACGATAGTTTTTCTATATACTTACTGCTCGAGAGGTTTTTCCTTCTCATCCATTTTGACCAATCTCATAGAAATTTTATTTTCAAATCCTAAAAAGTGATTTCTTTCCACATCCTTGAATGCCTTTAACAGAGTGACTGGAATCTCCTTTCTCTCAGAACAATGTTCATTAAATATATTTGGTTAAAAATATGTGGAACTCTACGTTTCACTTCAGATAACACAGAAAATCACACAGGGTCTGCACACTTCATGCTACAGAGCCTTAAGATTTAGTGAAAAGGAGAACAGAAAATGTCTTGGATTTTGACTTTGGTCTGACTTCCTCTGATCACTGACTTCCTGACCCACATGTCAAAGACACAGGGACACCGTTTTCTGAGAGAGACAACTTCTCCTGTTTTTACTAACTACTATCCTTATTGCACGAAGCACCCTGGCTTTTTTGGCTTCCTGCTTTGGCACCACCTCTCCTTGAAATACTCATGAATGGACACGGGTTCACGGGTTCCATCTAGCAGCCACCACTCAATTTGAAAGTCAAGAACATTTTATAGATGACATCTACCTTACCTTTGCTTTGACATATGGGGAAACTTAGATATAAAGAGGTGCAATGAAGCATCATAGGCACATGGTTAGTTGGTGGTAGAACTGGGGCCATCATCAGCCTCCTGGCCCAGCTTCTCAGTCACAAGATTTTTTCATAACCTTGATATTCTTCCTCCTACCTAATACCTAACTCTCCAGGGACTTAAACATCTTGATTCAACTCTGATGTAAAAATAAGCAGAAAACATAAAATGAACAATTGATGATAACTAGAGCAATACAATATTATAGATTGCCATTGTATGTACTGTAACAAGATTCAAATGAATGAAAGATATAGCAGATTGCAGTGTAGGAGGAGTTAATGGAGGAAGATGGAAAAGCATGGAAAAAAAAAGTGTCTTCATATGATGAAGAGGTTGGTTGTATTCCCTAGGAAAATATTAGGAATTAAAAAATAATTATTTCATGTTACTTAACCTATTAATAGATTTTTAAAGAGTACAACATAGTAAATTTTGACCTACTTTTACACCAAAGAGGCCGCTGACACAATCAAGATAATGAACATGGCTGGGTATGGTGGCTCATGCCTGTAATCCCAGTACTTTCGGAGTTGTAAGTGGGAGGATTTCTTTGAGACCAAGAGTTCAAGATGAGTCCCAGGCAACAAAGTGAGACCTCATCTCCACGAAAAAAAAAAAAAAAAAAAAAAAAAAAATAGCCAGGTGTGGTGGCCTGAGCCTGTAGTCCCAGTTGCTTGGCAGGACGATCCCATGGACCCTGGAGTTTGAGGCTGCAGTGAGCTATGAGCTGGGTGACAGAGCATGACCCGGTCTCTAAAAAAGAAAAAATAAAAGAAAGGGATATTCACATCCTCTCTGTCAAGTTTTCTTGTTGTGCCCCCTTTGTAATCCTGACTCCTCTCCCCCGGCCCATCCCCACTCAGACAACCAGTGTATTTGCTTCCCTGATCTTTTTCATTTCTTTTGTTTTTCACTTTGAAACAATTTCAAACTTATGAAGAAGTTGAACGAGTAGCACAAGAGCTTCCATACAGCTTTCATCCAGATTCTACAACTGTTAACATTTTACCACATTTGTCTTCTTAGTCTATCTACACATTTATATACATTATTGCTGTTTTTTTTTTTTTCCTGAATCAGGTGAGAGCTGTTGCAAATATGATGTTCCATAAGCCTTTACTACTTTGGCGTGTATTTCCTTAAAATGAGGAAATTTACATAACCAGAGTGCATCCATCAAAATCAGGAAATTGTGCGGGGTGCAGTGACTCACGCCTGTAATTCCAGCTACTTGAAAGGCTGAGACAGGAGAATCACTTGAACCCAGGAGGTGGAGGTTGCAGTGAGCCGGGATTATTATACCACTGCAATCCAGTCTGGATGAGCGAGACTCTGTTCCAAAAAAAAAAAAAAAAAAGAAAAAAAGAAAATGAAAAAGATCAGGAATTTAACATTGTTGTAATATAGTACTATCCATAAACTCCATTCGGGTTTCACCAATTTTCCAATAACGTTCTTTATAATTCCAGAATCCAACCCAGAATCATGTGTTGAATTTAGTCATTTATCTCTGTTAGTCCCCATTAATCAGAAACATTTTCTATTCTTTCCTTGTTTTTCACAACCTGGATGTTTTTAAGGAAAACAGGCTAATTACTTTGTAGCATGTCCCTCTGTTTGGGTTTGTCTGATGTTTCCTTGTTGTCAGATTTGGCTAATGTATTTTTGGCAGGACTTTCATGGAAGTGATGCTGTATTTTCTCAGTTTGTTCGGAGTAACTTAATATGGATTTATCCTTTTTATAGATAACATTATATTTTGTCACTCGATTAATGATGCTGGCCAGGTTTCTGCACTATAGTGTTAACTAGTAAGTGATTTGTATTTCTAAACTACTAATAGACACTTAATCAATATTTTGGGGGAGATGCTTTGAGACTGTATCCATTTCCTCATCCAATTTTCACCTACTAGTTTTTCCATCCAATGATGATTCTATCTAAACTAGTTGTAACTATAATGGTTGAAAAATAATAATTTTCTGGCTGGATGTAGTGGCTCATGCCTGTTATCCCAGCTCTTTGGGAAGCTGAGGTAGATTGCTTGAGCCCAGGTGTTTGAGACCAGCCTGGGCAACATGGCAAAACCTCATTTCTACAAAAAGTATAAAAATAGCCATGTGGTGGCACATGCCTGAAGTTCCAGCTACTTGGGAGGCTGAGGTAGGATAATCGCTTGAGCTTGGCAGGTTGAGGCTGCAGTGAACTGGGATTGCACCACTGCACTCCAGCCTGGGTGATAGAGCAAGACCCTGTCTCAAAAGAATGGTAATAATAATAATAATGACAATAATTTTGTAATTCCATCATTACATTTACATTTATTAGTTGGCATTCTACTATAAGTTAGAGCTCTCTCTTCTCCCTCATGTTTATTTATTCATGTATTATGTAAGCATGGATTCATGAGATTTGATTTTTCAATGGACTATAATCAGTTATTATAATTTTTTATTTTGATGCACAAAATGTCCCAGATGTAGATAACTGGAGCCCCATTAAACTGGCTCCTGTGTCCTTTAGACATGTCCTCATAATTATCTGATCACTTCCTTCCTTTCAGTACAACAGACTTCCAGGTTCATCTTGTTCTTTCCCTGCCCCAGCCCTGGAAGCAGACATTTCTCCAAGGAGCCCTGGCTCATTTCAGTGGAAAATGGTAGTTAGAAACTGAGATCTAAATGCTAGGGTGCTCATTGCAACCGGAGTGTCATTACTTCTGGGGCCTCTCAGTGGGCAGAATGAGGAAACAACACATACATACATTTCTGTTTCTCAATTTACCCATCTATCCCTACCTATCATGTATCTATCTATCTATCACATACCTATCTTTTAAATCATAATTTCAAACTGGTGCCTTCAATTCCAATCCAATACCACATTTTCCCCTTTGCACATTTGTAACTCCTTTCTTCAACAGTGGGAAGTTGCAGTCCCACTCTCCTCGATATGTTGACTTATTCATTTAGTCCTCCTGGGACTAAGGAGGACTAAATGAAATTTAGTGTAAGACATTTGCCAGCTGGCCAGCCTTGTCCCACTAGCCCCCTCACACCATTTGAGTATTCCACTCCAAGAGAAGGGAAGGTGAAACAGGAAATTATTTTTACTTTTCTTTCCCCATTCCCTATGCATATATTATTTTCCCTTTTGGATATTGCTCACACCCAGTTTCTCCTCCCCAGCTTAATTCAGGCTTGAACAGGTGCCACTGTTTTGGTTTTGCTCTTGGAAATCTGTCCTGCAGACAGCAGCCCAGATGATCTTTCACAACAAGAATATGATTACATTATGTCACTTTCAAGTTTCCAATAGGTCCTCATTGTCTACAAGGTTAAGTAAACTCTCTGACTTACCCTGACCTGGCCTCTGTCCACACCTCCATTCTCATATTCATGCCTTCCTCCCTTGAACTATCAATAGAAGTGAATTTTTGAAGTTGTCTGCATATATCATGTTCCATGGCCACCATTTCAGTGTGATGCTTCCTTGATTTATGAACCTCTTTCCCTAGTGCACCCTTAGAAACCCTGCTCAGGGCTGAGTGTGGTGGCTCATGCCTGTAATCCAAGCACTCTGGGAGACCGAGGCAGACGGGTTGCCTGATCTCAGGAGTTCACGATCAGCCTGGGCAACATGGTGAAACCCTGTCTCTACTTAAAAAAAAAAAATTAGCCAGGTGTGATGGTGTGAGCCTGTAGTCCCAGCTACTCAGGAGGCTGAGGCAGGAGAATTGCTTGAACCGGGGAGCGGGAGGTTGCAGTGAGCTGAGATTGCGCCAGTACACTCCAGCCTGGTCAACAGAGTGAGACTCCATCTCAAACACACACACACACACACACCGCAAAAAACAAAAACAAAAAGCAAAAGAAACCCTGCTCAGGTGCCATTGCATCTAAGAAATGCTTTTTTTTTTGACACCACTTGTCAACCATTAGTTTTTAATTATCCATACTAATTCAATTTCTTGTACATAGTTTTATTATTGGATATGTCACTCTCTACTGTATTTGTTTACACATCTGTCTCCCCTACTAGGTAACGAATTCAGAGGGCAGGGATTGACTTATTTGCCATTATAGTTTCAGTATCTAGCACAGTTTCTGCCACTTAATAAATTCTTACTGAACTGAAACATATATGTATGTGTCTGTGTGTATTTCATTTTCTCCCCCCGCCCCTTTTTTTTGCCCTTGGAAGTGTGTGGAGAACCATCTGACAAAGAAGTTGTTTCAGGATACCCAGTTTGTGATCATTTATTAGGGCAGCCACAGCAAATAAATTCAGTATCAAACTTTCCAGAATCCACTTGCATCATGCTTGCTAATATGCCCGTTGTCAAAGGTAGTCAAAGGCTAAGCCTGCCGTCACCACACAGGGGATTATACAAGGGCATGCATTCTGAGAGGTGTGGTTCATCGGAGAAATAAAGTGTGCTATGAGATTTGTTAGATCATTTCATGTGTCGTAATAAAAGACACTGAATTTCTGATGAGGGATTTTGAATGTGGTAAAATAATTCAGTGGGAACCCAATGCAGTACCTTGAAAAGAGAGTTCCCTTGGGTCAAATACAATGATTAGCACTCAGACCTGACACTTCCTTTTCCATAGACTAAATTCACCATGCAGCAATTGGAGCTAACAAAGTGTAATCTATATTGGAAGAGAATTATTGAAACCAATATTTAAAAAATTATAGCAGAACATTTCAAATAAATCCTTATGTTAACACAGAAACAAGCATGACAAAATACTCATGGTTATTTTATAAAGTTGGATTTTTGGCGTATGCTCTATTTTCATGTATTTTAGGAAATTTTAGTAATAAAAGCAAATCGCGAAATAGAATTAAATATCCATTTTATAAAATAAGACAAACAAGAAGAGAGTGGGTCTGAGTAGAGGTGTGGCACTTTCCCCAGGCCATTCTCTCACTGCTGTCTGCTGCTGCGTCTCACACTGACAACCCTCAGACAGCTCTGTGGCATTCAGGACTGCCACAGTGCGCATTTTCAAAACAGTTGACAAGGCTGACTAGGAGATGCCCTAGAAGCCCCCAGGTATGTGTTTCAGTAGGATTCTGGCAATACTGGCTGAAAGCACTAAGTAGAATCAGTAGCCTGCAATAGATACTGCCCCATAAGGAGTGACTGGAGAAATGTTGCTGATTAAATAAATGGTCTTGGCCTGACGGTAGATGCAATGACGGAAGTTCCATACCTACTAGGTTCCGGAGGCCAGAGGTCTGAGATCCAGGTGCTGGCAAGGTTGGGTTTTTCTGGGGGCTGTGAGAGAGAAACAAGTCTGTGTATCTCCCTTTGGTGTTCTTGGGTTTGTAGATGCATCCCTCCAGGCTCTGCCTGCGCTGTCACATGAAGATACCCCTGTGTGCCTGCCTTCTTCTAAGTAATGTAGCAGTTAAGAAGAAATTATTTAGGCAGATAGTGAGGGTAAAAATGTTTTCAGGAAGGTTTTCTTTTTAATGAAAAGCAGCCCCCAAATCATTTTCTTTTCTAACAACGGGCAAGATCGAGCTGCAGACATAGACAAGCAAGCTAGAAGTTTGCACGGGTGAAT